CATCACTGAAATCGTCGAAGCGAATCCTAATGAATTTGATATGGATATTGTGTTCTAACAAGATGGAACACAACCACATTACTCCTACAAGTGAGAAACTATTTGGATACTAATTTTCCCGGTCGTTGGATTCGCCATCGAGGTCCTACAGAATGACCAGCCTGCTCACCAGATTTGACACCGTTGGACTTTATTATGGAGCTATTTGAAGCAAAAGGTTTACGAAACTGAACCCGCTTCAATATTGGATTTATGGTAGAGAATAATAAATATTTGTAGGGATATTGACGTTAACTTATTCGAAAATGTTTGGTGTGAAATATCGGATAGGCTGTTCATATGTCAAAAAGTTCAAAGCAACCATTTCGAGCATTTTTGAACTGATCTCAAGCTCATTATCTCATATTATGTAGTTAAATGTCGAATGTATTCAGGCAATTATTGAAAGTTCCGCCATTTTGTAGTAGTTGAAGATATTGACATTATATCCTAGGGTTGTGAAGCATTTGTCAGGAGCTTCAAAAAGTTGTGTCACAAGATCCCCCTTTCTTTTTGTTTTTTTCCCAGATGGCGCCCAGTCGCCAACTTGAAAGTTTTGAGTTGAACCGTTCAAAAACTAAAAGGAGAGGAGACAATAAAGAAATGTACTGTATGAAAGGAGTGAAAACTCTCCGTTTAAACGTATATTTACGTTATGCATTTCATTCTGCCGAGCCATTTTTTCAGAAAGATATGGACGCATTTTTTTCAAGAATTCTGAAGAAAATCTGTGCAATCTGTGCAGGAATGATCTCATTGGTTTATTTAAGTGATGAGGAATACGTTAATTGGATTGGATTTCTATTTCAGCTGAATATTTCCAGTTAAATTTTGATCTCATTTTTTATTTTATCGATGCCATCAAAAAAGCTTCAATTCGAGTGAAACGTACAGAACTGAGATATTATTTTTGCTGAGTTCATTCCGTATTTGGTATTGATTCAATTTTTACAAAATTGAATGTTTCATAACTTGATGCTTTTAAATAATGAATTAATCATTGGTGATCCAGTATAATTGAGTATTTCTTGAAATCGATGTTGAACATACTTCCATTCTGAAGGTCAACCCTCTGCCAACCGAAAAGTGATATCGGTAACCGATATGGCTATGAAACAATACATACATAGGGAGCGGTCGTAAAATGTTCCCTGTAACTCGTCACTTAGAAGCATTATGAACTTTATTTTCAAACAGAAAGGTGGGTCTTGTGATGCATAGTTGACAGGCATTTCAATTAGCTTCCCAAAATTTTTCATTTATTTCAATTTCCAGTTTTATATTTGTCATAGAATCTGCTAACAAACGATAAATCTCACTATGAATTAAAATTTTATTCAGAAAAACAGTTTTTTCCAACGAATATTGGAAATTTTACTTTTTGACAATGATGAAGTCTGTTCACAAATTCTTTTCTCACATTATGAATGTTTCTGCATATATTTGTTGAAAAATATTTATTGTGGGGGAGGGAGTTGATGCTCGTTGCTGGTTATGTTTGTTTTTTACCCTTCCAAATTTTCTACATTCTGAAAAACGAACAAAGCTGAATCGATACAGAATCTCTTAAAAAGTAATATTAAGCGAAAACTGAAAAGTTCACCCCGAATAGTTAGGTACTGCATATCATAAAACACTATCCAATTAGTCATCAACTTTGAATATCAATCAAAACCAGTGAAAAATCAAAGTTATATACTTAGCGTTCTTCAAGACAGTTCCAATTGATCGTGTTTCAATTTCTTTCGAGTTTCGAGAACGGAAAGGTATTACTTTCCGGAAGGTAAAACAACATTCATGATGATTATTTGATTTGATTTATTATTTTATTGACAGACAACATTCATGGTTACTGATTGATATAGGATTTTTTACTGGATTATATTGTGCAATAACTTTTTGGAGTCAAATTTTCAGTTCGCTATCCATTAGAATTCAACAGATTCTTTGTTGATTTGGCTCCGTTAATTCTTCAGATTGGGGAGGTTGAGAAACCTAGAAAAACCAGGAAATTCTCTCGAACTTATTCCATGCTGAGCACCTCTTATCATTTCCATCAATTCTGGAATGGAGTGCAGAACGGGACGTAGTACTTTTCTCGTATCCACCAGTTTCAAAAATTGCCATTTCCTATATTATCCAAATTAATTTAATGAGTCAACGATACTCATTGAATGAATTACCCTCCGGAATTACCTTTACTACCTATTTCATGAATAAATCGACTGTATGTTGGATTATTTTCGGGTACTATCGTATTCATCGCATGAATCAAAGATTCAGTAGTATGACTTACATTCCAGAATATATCAAACTGATAACAAACTCAATTGTTGAATATATATAGAAATGAACTGGAGTGACTTTTGAAAATATTTATTGAAATTATGATAATTATCTTTCGTTACCGGATCTTTATAAAAATAATATAATACTGCTGATTGCTCAGGAACGGCTAGTTCAATGTTCGAAATCGAACCAATATTAGAGAATTGAAAGAACTATTGAACAATCACAAGATCCCCTTTTTTATTTAGGAACGGCTAGTTCAATGTTCGAAATCGAGCCAATATTAGAGAACTGAAAGAACTATTGAACAATCACAAGATCCCCTTTTTTATTGCTCCTCATTCGGAGGCGAATGGCATCACACATGATCGAGGGAATTTTTATGTCCGACCTTTATGTTGCTAGTTGGCCATCAATATTATTATTTTATACATCTTGCATCATTAGAAACTCAAACTGAAACAAAAACTTCGACAGCCATATTCAAACAACAAAATTAAATCTAAGACTATGACACAATACCTTGCACGGATACTTGAATAACTTTAGAGATAGTTTTCAACTAAAAGGCGCTTCTTTCTTCAGGTTACTCTTGAATTTCGAATCAAGATATGAACACATCCGGCACGAGCTGAGTCAGCTAAGGCTGACATCCGTTTTCAATCGTTTTTCTAGTCTCCGTAGAAAATTGTCCTCCAGTAACAATAGCTGATTCCAATGAATATCAGGAGACTCAGAATCTGACGCTCTGCCGGCGGAGTCCCACCTACGATTTAGGTAAAATTTAAAAACTGAAAAACACGTTTTTACCTCCTTCTCAAATTATCAAGTTGTTTAGTACTCACGTAATATATTCATAAACTCATTATTCCTAGCAATAAACAAGAAACAAGATGAATATTACTGGATTTTCTTTCCCAACACCAAACCATTATTTTAACAACTCCACAGTTTAATCTTCCTCTTGAAGATGATCATTTGGTGATCGAAACACGTGTCGAGGTGCCAAAATATTGGTTTGGTGTTGAAAAAAACTTCAGTAATATTCATTACAACACAAAAGTTCCAAACAGTACATAACAAGAAACAAGATGTTTTCTGAATTCGCAAAATGGTTGTCGGTTGTACAGCACGAAAAAAGCAGTACCTATTTGATAAATCATATCTGATGTGCTTTATCATGTTCTGTCAGTGATACAAACTATTGTTCTGCTACAAACACTCTGCATACAGATATAAGTATTTTCAAGAGGAAAAAATAAGTGAAGTACAACTGATGCCACCTGGACTTGGAAATCCAGCTACTGCATTCCCAAGCCAACTTTTAGATGAAGTCCAACTCAACCAAGGTCAGGATATGCTCTTTTGTTTCTGAACCAGCAAAATAAATAGTCTACTTTGCGTCACGTCCACAAGTTGAAGCTGTGCCTCCGTAATAAGAGTTTTGATAAAAATTACTTTGGTGGATTCACAATCAAAGACCTCTTCGATACTTCGCGAACGGTGAATAGTTTCTATAAATATATGTTGTTTTACTACAGAAGACTCATCTCCATCATCAAGACGAAGATTTATTTGTGATTTTCATTGGACCGAATGGAATTCGGAGACTGAAAGCTCTCATTGCCGAAGTTAACTGTGCCAAATTCATGTTCCTGGCGTTTTGTCTACGCTAACCATTTTCAAAGACGTAGTGTTCTAGTGGTTGTACATCATACAGGGAAAGGAACTGTAAGTCATTCTAGATAGTCAAAGGTAATTTTAAATAGACCCTTGAAACATTTCCTACCCTATGTTGAAAATGTTGGAGCAAGACAACGTTGAACCAATATGCAGGCCAACGAAAAGTATCAGATGGATGACCTCAGAGAGTTTTAGCAACACTGGTCATTGTAGCCTTGATTCCGGCTAAATTGGAACCACGATAAGGGTGTGAGTACCCGACTCTTCGAACACAAGAAAATTTGTCGTGTTGGACATACCGAAAAATCGGCAGTGGCGGAATATAAATTCAGAGAAGGCGCCCACGCTTTCAACAGAACTTATGGCTACTATCCAAGACTATCCAGGAAAGGAAATAGAAAGGAGATAGAGATAGAGAATTTCAAGGAAAAGAAAGAGTGAATTGACATGAATGAAATCGGACTACTCCTACATAACTGTACACAAATCAGGCCAACTAAATTTTAACCTTGTGCTATGTTCTATACCTCATTGCTATTGATAGGTAGTTATAGGCGAAACGTCAGACCTGAAAATATGCAGTACACGACCAAATGGATTTGTTAAGACTACTCACCTTTTCGTTATTTTCTATTAACAAGTCTTCACAAGTGAACTTTGAAGACTTTGGAAACAAGTAGTTTCCTGTTATACCCAGGAACTTTTACTCAGTATATCACCGATAGCTCTGTTTTCTACAGCCTGGCTTCAAACAGTTTTGGAAAATAATACTATAATACTAATACTATAATGAATACTTCACTTTCATGAGGATTACTTTTTATCACCATACTTTTTCAAATTTTGATACATAATGCATACATAATTTCAATTATGATTCAAAGAAATATTATTGATGTGACCTGAAGGGTTTATCTAACTAGAGAATTACTTTCTAGTTTTCATATCGATACATAGATTAACTTCAAATCACCATACGAACCTATGAAAACGACCTGGGCTATGCATCCACCTCGTGGCATACTTCCATGTAATCAGGATGTAGCATGATATCCTTGATCATATCCTTCAACATCGAGTAACGTATCACCATAGGATAGATTTTAGCGTTTGTGTATTCAGTCTGAAAAATATCATCTATTACTCGTATTATCCATTGAACATCACCCACAACAAAATCAGAGGGTAACGAAATGTTATACATAATTTATATCTTTATACTCTTTTTCATGAGACGATAAGAAATACCTAAGAAGAGAAACATGAATTTGTTGATTTTTCAATAATGATATCATTAATTTCGATTCATTCAGTCCACTGTATAAGGGTGGATAGAAAGTGATACCTGTTTTCCATCTTGTCCTAAATTTTCGGCAGGGTTTAGGATTATAGGCCTTAATTTGTCCTAAACGATTCTTAGATACTAATAATTATTAGATGACACCCAGGTTTGTGTTTAATAAACCCTACAAAATACAAATAAAACAGAACACAAAGTCAGATGCTACAAATGTAATACGCATATATACAGACGGTTCAAACCAAAGAAGGCTCAGGATTTGGACTTTACTCCAAATCACTAAGCCTAAGGATTAGGTGGGGAATGGGAAAAAATTCTAGCGTGGTTCAAATAGAACTAACTGGTATCTCAATCGCCACAAAACAAATAACCAGGAAAGGAATTTCTAGAAAAACATAACAAATGGCACTGACAGTAGACAAACTCTATCAGTCTTGAACATACAACGTTCTATCTCAGGGTTAGTACTAGAGTGGCACCAAGATTTAGCCAAAGCCTCGGTAGATAATAACATTATCCTGAGGTGGGTTGAAGGGTACGACAGGAGTAAAAGTAATCGCATTGCCGACTCCATAGCCAAGGAAGCGGTTGGACTGAGAATTTTAGGAACCAGTGACACCTACGGCCTGAGACTACGATAATTGCGGAACTAGCCAAACGTCACACCCATGCTCAATCCCTAAAGAGATGGGATGCAATCAAAGGATGCAGTCTTGCCAGGATCACCCTGGGCGACCCTGGGAAGCTGGCACTGAAGAAATATCTGACGATGACCAGGAGAAACCTACGCTGAACTGTAGGATTTCTGACTGGCCACTGTCAACTAAGGAAACACCTCCATATAATGGGGCTAATGGACACACCTCTATGCAGGATGTATGAACAGGCATGTCTTATGCGAGTGTCTGATGTTATCGTCAGAAAGAGAGTGTGTGTTCAGCGAGTCTTGGCCTACACCTGTAGATATAAAGGAGATGTCTTCTAGTGACCTATCCACCTTCTTGAAGAGGACGGGATGGACCATGACCTAAGAGGACAACTCATCGGGAGGGTCACATGTAGCCTAAGTGCTGTGGGCCTACACTCCCTAATCTCCAGATACCCTCCCTACTCTACAGTTACAGATAGATTAACTTATGATCCAACGACAGACAGTGCTAATTAGACCCATCTCATAAGCTGTCCAAAAGAAACAAGCCTGATGAGACCTGGCGGGTTAAAACAGCGCTCTCTTTTGTTGGATCACAAGTTCATCTAGCTGCCTAACAGTGAAAGCTGCAGGGAAAGACGAATATCGTCAAATCTTGGCCTTACAACTGCCGGTGTTGGGAAGTTTCGTTTATCTTTGATATTCTGATAACGAACTTATTTTTAAGAACCTCGTAATAATCATTCTACACGAAATGATGATGATCTTCAAGTTTTGTATTTGACACTGTACCCAAAATCCGTCCAGAACCTAGTTCTTATGCTGCAAAATTTTATAACCCTCTTCCTACAAAAATGTGCAACATATTGCACCAACACATTGCAAAGAATGAATACAATTGTGAACTAACCAATTATTTTTCTTGTACTTTTGAAGTGTCAACTAGAGGAAAAATTATTTCACTGAAATGAAGCAGCCATCCCTTGTTCATTATATGTCATACATTATTTCATCTCGGAGAAATATATCATGCCAGTTTTGAGCAAAATAAAGACCATTTCATTTTCATTACTAATATACTTTTGCGTTTCAGTTCGTATATTGGATAGAAAGTAATAAAGATAAATTAGAGTTATATATTCAATGTCATCCTAACTTCTCACAGTTATGGTGTCATTCAGAAAATCTGCATGATATGGATGGAATATTCTCTGTTGTTTGATATTTAGTTCGATTTGAATCAAGCAGCTTTGTTTTTTTTTCAGTTTTGAACTGAGTGTGATTGGAAATACTCTTCATAAAATCCATTTATTTATTTACTTTTGTTATATTCACTGCCTAGTAGGATTTCATCTATAACTCATTCAGCTATTTCAAACAAAACCAAAATCAACCCTTATCTCCCCTTTATAGCCAACAAACAAATCATTTTTAGTAGAGCGACTAGGAATTAGTTACACGAAATAAATTCATAATCCTGCGCAGTCATCTTCCTTCATGCAAATACAGTTTCACGTGTCCAACTTATCACCGCCACCGCCATTAACAATCGAAATAAAAATCAATAGAACAATTTCATAACATGAAAAAATTTTACTATATCAGAAAGAAACAAAGTATATCATAATTATAGCACCTGAAATTCAGTTACCACATAAGTAATGAAGGAAAATGTTAAAATTTAATTTTATTTCAATAATGCAGCCTAGGTACGTATCATAAGGTTATTATAAAACTATCACTGACAAAAAAATTCATTGTAGTTTGATAATTATACGAAATTGAATTGAAAAAGTTATCGGCCGAGGACGAAACGTCTTTATATATTTCATAAAAATGAAAAAATTCCTATATTTACATACAGCGTGACTCACGGTCGATGGTAGGTTAGACGTTTCTGGAAAACGCAAAGCATGATTTTTCTGAAAATTTCACTTCTCACATTTCCTTACCTGTTCTATCGATCTGAATTATTTGGCCGATATAGAATTTGTTGTCCGAGCATTGTATGCTGTACACTCCGTTTAGGTTTTTGTCTTCTTCTTTTTCATAGCTGTTTATTTTTTGTGTTATTTTCGTATTCGGCTTGTAAGTGATATTGATATTCAATGGTTTGAAGATGTTTGTTAGTGTTTTGGTTTGGTGACCTATGTATGTGAATGCAGTCCATCGTTTCGTTGTTTTATCTGTGGGAGTAGTTTGATCTTTGCTCTGTATTTTTTGTTTGATTCTATTTTCTAATTTATCTATTGTCATTTGGGTGGATCCGTTCTCGTTTGCTATGTGGTATATAATGTTCATTTCCTAGTTCCGGGCTTCATTGCAAAGCGGTATCCGTAGCATTCTGTATATGAATGCGTTATGGGTAGCTATTTTGTGTGATGGTGGGTGGTTCGAACTTGCGGGTATGGTGGAGCTTGTATGTGTAGGTTTCCACAACAAAACAAAATTTCAAATTGCAATATACAGATATTTGAGCGAGTTTCCTTACAGATGATATTCTTGCAGATGCTTTCACCAGTAGGACCACGCTGAAATCAAACGTGTTACTGGAGGATTACTCGCCATCCGTGTAGGACAGATCTAACAAAGACAGTAGTGTCGTCTTCTACTAGATTTATTTCATAGACCCTTCACCGTATGCACGAAATTTTCATCTGAGACAGGAACTGTTTTAATTACAATGAAATAGTAACAGTTTTAACTCGTCAACAAAGCTTCAAGCGGAAAATGAGTACCCCGTCTTAACTTCAATAGGAAATAGATCAGTTAGATTTCTGGGTAGTAGAGAGATACCTTCTCTAAAAATATCAATATTTCGAACTGAAATCATGAAAGTGTTTGTCGTATATATTTCAATGTCATTCGTGCCAGAGAAGAAGTCGTTTTCCTGCAGGGGTTTGCCAGATCCAGTTTGTAAATTGGAGGTATATGAATGTGGGACATTCATTGATAGGTATATCAGTAGGTATATCGTAATGGGTCACGTTTGAGAAATATATTTTTGAATGATAAATTATATTGAAACAAAAACAGTTCAACGAAGAAAAAAATATCTCTTCGATATTTGCTGATCATTCATGACTTGGAAGTCGTCATAATATAATATCGATTCAGATGATTTTCATTGTGAATGTTCAAAATATATTGTTTTTTTTTCATAAGCTGATTTCATTTCTATATTTTTTACCAAATTTTCAATTTTCAACCGTAATATATGGTTCACAATCACAATTATAACATTTTCTCTGTAGCAGAACCCATTCTTAGTATTTAGTTTCAAGCACGAATTCAACTAGAAGATCCAAGTAGAAATATCGTTTTCCTGTTGAAACTGCATACTAATCGAAAGCAATTACGACGTTAATTACTTGGTGTAGAAGTTCGAGTATGCAGGAAGTAATCCTTCCTCATTTGATTGAAATATTCATTCCCAGGTCCATATGAATTCTTGCAGATAATTTCATAATCTACTGGATTCATTAGTCATGAATATATTGGAATGATACTAAACGAGGTTTAAAATGACTTTTTTTAACGTTTGTTTGAAGGTGATTGANTTCGATAACAATTATAAATCCGTGAAGAAAAGTACTCATTTTTTTTGCAATTACACATTTCGATGTTACCATAGTGAATATTTTTCATTGTTTTGTTGATAACGTGTTAGAAATAATACGTTAAAAGGTGAGACCCCGTTATTCCACAGCTTGAATACGTTTCAATTCCTGGGAGTTGTTGTTCGAGAGGCTTGATATCGATATTATCGATATTAATATTGAATACTATTTGATCTGATGATGATTGGTCGCATAGAAGGCTCCAAACGATATATGTTTCACGAATGAATTGAAGTGAAGGAAGGCACGACCAGAGAATTAGTAATAAACTGCTTGCCAGTCCCGAAGGATCAGTTTCGTTTTGGTCAGTTTGCTAAGGCCGTCGGTTAAAATTTCACCAAGTCTCCAAGGGTGGCATTGGATGAACCCTTCCTTTGGAAAAACGAAAGTACTGAGCGGTTTATGTTTTTTGAAAAGGTCAATGCTTTTTCCATCAACAATGGATGCATACAGTTCGTGCTATCACGATATCATTGATTTGAGTGAAGCAAACTTGGGATTACGAAGTTCATACTAACCTTTAATTGTCGAATGAGATTTCTCAATCCAGAATATTTTTTTAACAGTCTATAAAGGTCATTAGTCATCTGTGTATTTTCAGCATCAATAAGTGATGTTGTCATATCTAAAATAAAAAATCAGTAATTATTTTGAGGTCATATCAGTTTGAAGCGATTAACAACTATTGAAGAGTGTTATACGGAAAATATACAAAGATGTTTTATCGATTAATTGTGAATTTCGCGAGATATATTCATAGATATCGACAACATTCAATTCGAGTTGACCTTCTCACCATCATATTTTTTTTATTATATTAACACTTCGTTTTTTTTTTAAATATACTACACATACCGCTGTCTGTATTTTGTTTCTGTCAGAGTAGTACCCCTCAGATATGATACACTTGTGCCAGCGTTTTTTCCAATCCTCGAATCAACACTTTGTGTTGTATTCTTGAACTCTCTCAGAAATTCGGTTTTCATCTCATCAATCGACTTAAAACGCCGTCTTTACAATGGTCTCTTCGAACTTGGGAACAGGAAAAAGCCACAGGGGGCCAAATCTGGTGACTACGGTGGCTGAGGCATGATTACGGTGTTGTTTTTGGCCAAAAAATCACGATCAAACAATGTCAACTGGGTAGGTGCATTATCGTGATGCAAAAGCCATGAATGGTTTTTCCACAATACCGGACGTATTGCTTCTCGTAAGCGGCGCATAACTTCAAGATAATTCACCTTATTGACTGTACGGTAATCGAAAAAAAAACAGTGAACAAAACCTTGAAATTTCATCAAACTTGACGTGCTTTTTTATCTTGGCTGCCTGGGTTTTTATTGAGACGATTGGACTTTGATTCCGAAGTCATAACCATATACCCACGATTAGTTACCAGTTACGACTCTTTTAAGCAAATCTGCATCGTCGTTGACGTCATTCAACAATTACTGAGCGATGCTCATGCGACGGATTTTTTGGTCGAAATTCAGCAATTTTGCAACAAACTTCACTGTCATACGCTTCATGCCCGAAATTTCAGAAAAAATTGCATGATATGAGCCAACAGATATGCCAAAATACTCAGCAACTTCTCTAATAGTGATTCGACGAATCTCCTCAACAATTTTCTTCATTTTCTCAACATTTTCAACGGTTATTGATACTATAGGGCGTCTAGGGCGAGCGTCATCATTCACATTTTCACGACCTTCTGTGAAAAGCTTGTATAACAAGTAAACATTTTTGATGCAAATTTTCTGATTTACTTTTTTGAATAGCACAAAATTGCTGAACATGCAAAACACTTCGAAAACTTCTAACTTTTATGTCTCTCACCAACACACTGAACATGCCAATAAACTGATACTGTGAACATATGTTCGAGAGGAGTGTACCGACGTATAAAATGAAAAAATCACTAATCGAATGTACGAGCCCGCGAAATTTGAACATTCATCTTATATTTTGAACAGTTCACTACACTAAAAACTATCTGACTTACTAATAATCCCTCTACCTTCTTAAAATCTGAAACTGAAAACATACGAGTATAATGTTTTAATAATCAAAAATACATATGAAATACCAGTTGAAAATAATTGACAGTATGGTTGAATTTCAATTTTCTGTGAAATATAAGAAAATGTTCTTTGCATGTGATAAATTCCAGTAACTTTAGTGTTAATGAAATTTTCATGACAGAACAAGTTATGATTACTTGAACATTTACATTCATTATTAATTTTTTACTGTTTCCACTCAAGTTGAGAAAGCAGATTCAGGCTCACTGCATCAATACATATGGGGGATTCATTATGCGAATAAACCAAAATTCACTTGACAAAATGAGTGGGTATACTTGAAAACTGCAAATCAAATTACCTAAAAGAACAATTTGGTCAGGCCAGCCTCAAATTACTTACACTGTAGGCTAATGGACTCACACCTATCAGGAAACAACTCCTCCCCTTGCTAATACCACGAAGGGGATTGGATTATATCCGACAGGTGTCAGTGCAGGATTCTTCACTGATCTTCACTGAGGTTATTCCTGCATATGCTGTTGTATCGCCAGTAGCATATGCAGAAATAACTTCAGTGAAAAATCCTGCACTGACATCTGTCACTGTCATCTGAACGCCATTCGTGGTATCAGCCAGGGCAGTAGTTGTTTTCTGATAGGGGTCAGTCCATCAACCTACAGTGTAGGCAATTTGAGACTGGTCTGAGCGAATTGTTTTTCTAGATAATTTAAAATTCGCTTATTCATTCCAGTCAGATCAATAACATCCGTACCAGTGCTCAGATGTCGCCCATGCGTGGGGAAAGTTTGATGGATATATATGAATATTCCAAATGATATTTCTAAATCGAGCTGGTCTGCTAAATTTCCTAAAGGTTTTACTAGAGTCGTATTCAAGATTTTTGCGTATTCTCGCCAATCAGGTTTTTTATTTCATGTTTGGTAAGTCCTAGAGACCCTAACTGATATTTTATTTGAAGCTGTGTTTCCAAGATGCAAACCATCGATTTGTCTGATTGGTGGTGTTATCGCAGATTTGTGCGCAGATATTTCGAAGTTTCTGGGCCTCAACAACACAATAACTTCACACAATATCTATGTTTTTCAGGTGGCAATTTACTAAAAATTACAAGTTTTCATCAAGGAAGTTTATTCCACATAAACACAGTTCTCCAGATGGAAGAGTTCTTAAACTGTGAAGTTCGAGGTGGACTGAGTTGAACCTCAAAATGATGAGCAGCCACAGTCCGTCGCGTATTTCTGATGGTGGAATCAAATGTGCTGAGTCATTTGAACACCTCCCGTGAAAGTATCTATAGTATCGGTAGACAAGATTTGGTGATGACGAAGTTTGTTGAGATACTTAGAGGCTCCTAATAACTATAAGTATTTCCAAAATAACACTTCCGTTCATCACACCTTGTCTACAGATCCATGACATCAATAGTAGGCCCTATGTGGCCTATGTGATGCTCTAAATAGCTGATGATGTAGTTTTTCGAAAATAGCCAGAAATCTAGCTCATTTACCCAACTCCAGGAGTTTTACAACTTTTTTCAGAGACTAGTTGGGAAACTATCGACATACTTTTGCTCTGACAGTCTTTTCTAGAGACATCTTGTTATTGGAACCCCTCTTTGTATAACTTTTCTTACGACAAAGTTAAGTAGTTTCAGAGTGTATTTTCCATTAAATGATTTTAGTAAAAATAAACTAATAAACTGACAGTTTTTCAATTATTTTACATTAGTTGAAAACTTATAACTAGTATCGTATGTCAAATCAGTTCCAAATTATATCTATGATGTTAATTTGATCAATTTTTCATCTGCTATTATTTCTTGGGTATACGACTTTTTTCTCGAATTTTTTACGCTTTAGAAATTGTATTTGATATGAACGAGCTCAATCGTTCAATAAATAGTCAACATTTGAGTGAAATATTATTAATGACTTCCCAAATATATATTTTTTACAACAGTTAGTTTTATAATTTCTATGTTTTTGTGTGCTCTTCTGTATTTATTACAATTGTCACACATGAATGTCAATGTCAGCTCACTGTACTGAGCTCACTATATGATATTGGCATCCCTAATAGGTTCACTAAATACTCTGCATTAGAGTAAAACTGACACAAAAATATAGAACCTCGACAATTACAAATCTAGAGACTGGCTCGTTCATATACCTATCTGTGGAATATTGAATACCAAAGTCAATGTAAACGCAGCGTTTGCACGTTCTTTGAATATCTATTTATTTCGAGATTAACCTACTTTCTAAGCGTTCAATTCTTTCCCGTTTGTCCTGCGCTTCCTCAGCCAACTTTGCTGACGTCTTAACGCCCTCTCCAGATTTTTGCGACTTTTCCATTATGGCACAAGCTCGCAAAACGAAAGCTGGCACCGTCTCTTGTTTCTCTTGTTTGGGAATGTCGACCAGGGTCCAATATTGCGTTTCTAACCGTATAACTTCCTAGAAAAAAGCGCAGGGTCAGGATAAAGAAACAAAAAGGATAGAGTTCTGGAAACAATAGAATGTGTGAAGAAAATGAATTTTAGGATTTATTTTCACTTCCTTATTGAGATTTGAAACTTATTGTGATACCACCATTGCATTCAACAATATTGATGCTCGATGCAGTTGGGGAACAATTATTCAATTCAATTCAATTACTTTACAACCTGTTTTGCCATAAAAATATGTTAGGTTAGTCGATACAAAAATAGTTAAAAAAAGTCATTCATACAAATTATGCAACGAAGGCAATACTCATGAGAATGAAATTACAAAATATACAATATTGAAGTTTCTCTTATATTCTTCGGCAGCAATTTATAGTGGAAACTTTCAGCCCATTAGAGCGAACGCTTATAAGATAGATTTCGAACACTTTTTAGGTGTATGTTATTGTGATTTCGGATGAATATCCAAGTTTTTCTTGATATTTTCAAAGTTATTATGAACGTACAATAATATTTTTAATAAATAAATTCCCAGTACAGTAAGTATTTTATTCTCTTTGAAGACTGATTTACTTCTTGATATTCTAGATTGAAAATCAGTTGTATAATTCTTTTTTGAATAATAAATTCTCGGCTACATTCCATTGCTTGACCCCATGTGATAATGCTGAATGCTAATTGCAGAATGAGCGAGAGCATAGTTAACATCGATTAGCATTGCTTTGCTCAGGGTATAATTTAGTCTGTAAATAGAGAAAAATGATTGGTTCAATTTTTTGCACACATAGTTTATTTGTTCAGACCAAATGAATTTTTCATCAATCATCGTGCCAAGAAATTTATAGGTTAGGCTTATAAAAATAATTAGAATTGTATGTATTTTGTTCTCTCTAAATTACTAGGATTCTCATATTTGTATGTCAAGATTAAAATTGGTTGAAACATATAATATTAAATACTATTTTTATGATAAAATGAGATGATTGCACAGATAAAATGTAATCAAGTATTAGAAAATGAACTACACAGGTTGACATAATTGACAAGACACATGAAATTTGACAGAGAGTGTTTGCGACCGAATGTCTGGTTCTGATCATTACAGTGATGCCAATGAGATCTCACCTCACGGAACTATAAAATGATACATAACAGAGTGTGAAGACAAAGTATTCCATTTAGGGATTCTCAATTGTTATCATCAAATTTATTATCTTCATTGAAACAAAGGAGATAAGTATAAATTAGACTTAGACTTCTAGGACAGACATTGAATGTCTAAGCCCGATTTATACTTATCTCCTTTGTTTGAATAAAGATAATAAATTCGATAACAATTATGAATCCGTGAAGAAAACACTTTACTTTCATTTTCCGTTATGTATCATTTTATAGTTCATAATTGACAAGGCAAATGAAATTTGACACAGAGTGTTTGACAGAATTTTTGTTTTGATCATTATAGTGATGCCAATGAGATCTCACGGAACTATAAAATGATACATAACAGAGATTGAAGGTAAAGTGTTTCCTTCACGGATTCCTTTTTGTTATTATCAAATTCATTATCTTTATTCAAACAAAGGAGATAAGTTTGAATCAGGCTTAGAAATTCAATGCCCGTCCTGAATGGTTCAGGTTATCAAAGATAACCAAAGATTTTATTCCAAAGAGGTTTCCTAAGGCGGTCAGTTGCAAAAGCCAAGCTTCGACCGTCAAACGAGATTCGTCCTCTGTCATTCTCTGCAACTTTTACTGAAAGGTGGATAATCGAAATCAGAGATAGACAAATATTCCAAAAATAATATAAATAGATCTTCATTTCCAGAATGATTATAGATATGTGTAAACATGTACTGAAATGGGAAAGGCTGAAGATCACTTGTTTGTGTCAAAAGATGCGTCATAGCAAAAGAAAACAATAAAAAATTACAAATAACAAGTTGGAGAATGAATGTATTAAATATGTAATTAAGTCAATAGTCCATTACAAAGATGTTTAAATGTACAGAAAAAAGGAAATAACAATGTCACTGAGATTAACGAACCATCATTCTCATCGACAATGGGTGTATATTTGAATATTGTCATTTTCATGCTCTTTTGAATGTTTTCAAAAACATCAGCTTGAATTAAACAAAGATGAAGTTGTACCTACAATCAAGCGATCTGGTATGAAAAACATTTATTAAATGATTCTGTTCGGTGTGTGAGAGGCGTCAGTCTTCCCCTATAACGAATGTTAATATTGCGAACATCTGAATGGTATGATAATTTTCTTATGAATATTTGGGAGTTTTTTATGATGATTGCTATTCTGCCATGCTGAGCCATCTGGTATCTTTGGGTTGTCGATGACGTTCGATGCCGTTCGATGCGGTGTATTAAACTTAGAAAATGGCCCATGGTCCATGGTCCATAGACTACGCTTCCAAAATTGAATCTGGATACTACAAGAGATTCACATAGCATGGTTTTTACTTTTTTGTTGAGACAGTGTCTGCTGGTATGAATTTGTTTGAATTTGTTTATGTAGGCATTGCTATGCCGTTTGAATTTCAAGAGGGAATCAATAATTATACCTAAGTTTTTGCAAGCTCAGTCGGTGCAACCACATCCTTGTCTACAGGTAATTGGAAACAAGTCAGTGCTCTCTTAGCCCCAAAGGTCAACACTGAATGCTGCGTAGGAGTATAGGTAAATGAGGCTGTCTTTATTTAGCATCTGCAGTGCGGTATTGATATACGATGGGTGGAATGAATTTATTTTGGAGTATTCAACTACGGTCACAAAACTCGAGATATATGAAATGAATAGAAGAGGACCTAAAATCGAGCTTTGTGGAATACCGCGATTTGTCTCTTCTGCACAGAGTGGAACTCTGTGCAGTCTTGTAATACGTAAAGAATATCAATTGAAATCCTTGACGAATTGAGCGGGTCGATATTTTTACAGACAGCCAGGCTACACTTGGAGCCCGGGAATATCCTGAAGAACTGAGGAAGCTGACGGACGATAATAGATTGATTCTATACGATGTGAAAGCTGTGGTGTATATTAGATACAGATTATGAACTCCATTGATGGGACCTGAACCAGCTGTGAGAAACCAAAATATATGATTCTGTACTAGATCAGAAGAGGAGCCAATGGGAAGTGGGCATACGGGGAAATTACATCCGGAAATACATATTTCAAAACTTTTATAAAGAAACTGTATGAGAAAAGAACTGAAGAATCGTTCCAGTAGAATACCGATTGGCTCAGAATATCTACAGAGCTAATCACTGGATACTCTCCATTCAGAAGACATTTAGATAAAGCAGCATAATTGAGATCTCTTATGTATGCAAGCAACACGTTATATTTTGAGCCCATGTGAGGTACCAAAATACGGGAGTTAGTCAATTTATGGACAATCCAAATCATGTCCAGATTAAACTCTTGCCCAAAGTGGTATATAGGAAAACTTATTATAGACGTGTGTGTCATACAGAAAAAATGAATTCATCTTTCAGCCTAGAGAATATTTCGCAAATTCACGTATGTGTTTAAACGTTTCCAGTTTAATATAATATGGAATTTACGCAATACTCAATTCAGACTTTCATTATTACATAGTGTTTCCGTTTTTCCTAATATAGAATAATTTGACTCAAATTAACCGAACCTTTTTCAGAATGTTCTACCTGAGCTAATTCCGCATGACAAAATAATTCGCAAACTTGAATTTACTGGATCCGCAACAACATTAAAACGAAATTAAATTTTCTCAACAGGAGTTCGAAATTGAATTCTAAATATAGAAAGGGGCTGAATAAGCAGCACATTCGTTACCCAATAATCATTTTATGTAAGCTTGAAAGAGTTTTGACAGGTATGAGCAGGGGTTTATGAAATAAAGATTAGTCTGCCGAAAATGTTTCATATTGTGAGTTGATTCATTGCTTCATTACGAACTTTATGTTATAAGAGGTTCTTTATGAGTTTATTGAAGAGGTTTTACTACAGGGTGTCGATTTCAAAACTATCCCCAATCAATATCCCTTTTCTAGGAAATCAAATGGATTTGACAAATATGTAATGGATATATCCAGTACTGAAATGTTCAACGAATCATCTTATAGGTATAGTCTATCCATTTCCAATTGGAACGGCAATAAAAATAAGAGTACAGTCATAAACATTTTTTGCCTGTGGCCCCTAGTCGCCCAGATAGTTAGTAAACGTGTTATCAAATGTAGTTGAGGAATAAAGGCTCGGCAAGCTGGACTGGCTGAATATTAATTTTTTGTTCGTTTCACAATATTTCTTTATCAGTGCCGTGTGTTCGTAAGGTTAGGTGAGGTAGTAAGTGGTTTTGCAAACCGATTTTTGAAAACTTTTTCTAGAGGTCAATTACCCTAACACCAAACTGATATTTTTGCACTCGACACGCGTTTCGCTAACAAGGTTAGCATCTTCAGGAGAAGCAAACTGATACTGAATCTAAAGACAAAGGTTAGCTGTTTATATACCTGAAGTTTTTTGGTCCGATGTGGACTTTGTTAAATGATGATTAGCCTAATTGATTTTTCGGTAATTAACTAGTGGAACCACTATCTGCAAATTAATTTGTCAACAATATATTAAAAAGCGGACAAATTAATTTGCAGGTAGTGGTGTCCGCTTTTCAATCTATTACACTCTATTACGCTTTTACACCAAAGGTTCCAATCTCATCGTTTAAACCGATTTTTGTGAAACTCTTAGTGTTTTTGGGTATCAATATGGCTTTCTGAAGACCTTTTGAAACAAATGATAACATTACGTGTGAGAAATCTGTGTCAATCGACAGGGATCCGGAATTTGTAAATAAGGACTCACATGTTCAAGTTAAGCGAATAATTTTAAATAATCATGAATGCTTGAAAAAGGAAAACTGTCACACTTCACAGAATGCTATTGTGAATAGAATATGCGAGTTAACGAAACTATCTCGTTCGACAGTTCTTCGAGTCATTAAAATAG